TGAGAATGCCAAAGTTCAGAGATTACTGAGATGCCTAACGTCTACTAAAATGTGGCAGAATCAGAATTTGCCTATAAGGCTGTCCCACTCCAAAGCCCACAGTTTTCCCACTGCATTAGTGGTTTCAATGGGGGTGCTTTTGTTCCCAATCAGGGGTCTTTTGGTAATGCCTGGAGATATTTTGGTTGTCATTACTGGGGTGGCAACTGCTACAAAATATCAATAGTAACAATGTTGAAAATCCCTGCACTATAACATCTTAGGACAAACTACCATTCCTGTGACTTTAAAAAACACTTTTGTTATTTTTTACACAAAGTGGATTAATAGTAAATCTTGATCAATCTTGACTGTCACCTTTCTTAGAAAAGAAATCTAAGGTGTACTTTTAAACTCTGTCTTATCAATATCTGAACCTTTGAATTGAGAAAACCACACATGGGACTTCCCTGGTGGCCCAGTGGCTAAGGCTCTGCACTCCCAATGCAGGCCGGAGGGAGCCCAGGTTTGATCTCTGGTCAGGGAACTAGATCCCACATGCCACAACTTAAAAAAAAAAAAATAGATTCAACACACTGCAACCAAGACCCGGCTCAGCCAAAAAATAAACAACCAACCACACGGTACCAAGGTGATTCTCAAGCTATTAAGGTTAAGCCTCACTATGCTGAAGTCTATCACAATCACCTAATCTCTAACAGTCAGACACAAATCTACATCTTAATCTTCTATTTCAATTACCTATTGCATCTTAATCTCAACATTGCCAAACAATGCCAACTTCCTTGTCCTCCATCTAAGGAACATTCTCCCCTTCTTAAATTGCCTTTTTCTGTTCAGGATGTATTATCTCCTCAGAGGCTAGAAACCCCATCATCTTTGTCACCTCTCTCAAGCCCACACTAGTCCTCTCTATTCTACTCTGAGACTTCCTGCAGGTGCCACACAGTGCTATGGAGGTTGACGGAAACAGTTAAGAGCTCTGAAACCAAGCTGCACAGATCTAAATGGCAGATGTCACACAAAAGCTAAGTAACTTGGGGCAAGTTACTAATTTTTCAGTGACACTTTTCTTATCTAGAAAATCCTATCAGGGGATTCAGGAGAGACTAAGTGAGTTAAAAGATGTAAAGCACCTAAGAGCATCTGGTATATAGTAGATACACAATAAATATTGTTTTTTTTTGTTTTTTTTTTTTTAAATGACACAAAATTTAATTTTAAAGACAACACTGAAAAGTGAGTATATTTAACTATACTCAGCTCACTATAGAGCAAGTGGGTGAGTGCAATAGTAATTCACGCTATAGCATGTTTAGTGAACTGGCAAAAGAGAAAATGGGTCAAAGGAAGATGGAGAAATTTTCTCTTTTCATTAGAACCGAGGGGCTCCGTAATCATCTGGCATCCGCTCAATGTTGTACCTATGGTTAGAAATGTACATGATGGGAACTCCAGGGATCTTCCGGATTCTTCGTTTAAGGTCCCGGTCAACTGTGGCCACAATGTAACACTTGTGCTGAGTTACTCTTTGCACTAAGCAGTCATCTGCATAGGTTCCTTTGTGTGTACATGGTAATCGCTCAAACCTTGGATCCTTGGCAATCCTTAAAGCCACTCTATACTTCTGCCCCAATTTCTCAATTTCAGCCATTACACAGTCAGTTATACAAGGGATACACTTGGCATACAGGCAGTCCATCACTGACTGAACTAAGTCCAGTTTGGCTTTAATGGAAAAGTTGATAAAGTTGGTATCGACCAGGATGTGGTAAGGTGGGCCCAGCTGTGTGTTATATTGGAAGAATAAGCAGGAAGGGTGTTGGGGGACTTCTCTTTCCTTGAGTGCACTGGGATCTTTCTTTTCTTTATTTTTTGGTTTTAATCTACCCTTTTCTTTAAGCCTCTGATCTCTGAGACTAAGCATTCGCTTCATGGTCGCATACTTCCGTGTTTTCTTTTGCTTCCCCATGTTCACGCCACGCTCTTGTTACTTCCGGAATCCCACAATAAATATTGTTAACTTTTATTAGTTATATTATGATTAGCCGAAAAATTGATGCTTTTGAACTGTGGTGTTGGAGAAGACTCTCGAAAGTCCTTTGGACTGCAAGGAGATCCAACCAGTCCATCCTAAAGGAGATCAGTCCTGGGTGTTCACTGGAAGGAGTGATGCTGAAGCTGAAACTCTAATACTTTGGCCACCCCATGCGAAGAGTTGACTCACTGGAAAAGACCCTGATGCTGGGAGGGATTGGGGGCAGGAGGAGAAGGGGACGTCACAAAATGAGATGGCTGGATGGCATCACCGACTTGATGGACATGAGTCTGAGTAAACTTCAGGAGTTTGTGATGGACAGGGAGGCCTGGTGTGCTGCGATTCATGGGGTCGCAAAGAGTCGGACACGACTGAGCGACTGAACTGAACTGAAAAGTAAGGTACTCTCAAAGGTTATCCTCTGAGAATGCAATTGGGAAAAACCAAGGAGTTAAAGAAAGCATTATTTTACCTGGGGCTACAGTGGTATTACAAATACATATCAAAAACAAATGTACTAAATAAAACGTCCTAATATTTACTAAAAACAATTATAAATAAAAAGAGATAAGCCCTTTGAACTAGTAAGAGATTCTGTAACAATGTATGATTAAAAGGTTTTAGTAATCTAAATACAATCAAGGTGCCCTGTATGTTATCCTAGGCCAGCATGATTAGAATGTTATGACAAAGAAAAAAATATTTTTTGGTGGAGCCACATGGCATGCCAGATTTTTGTTCCCTGATCAGGGATGGAATCTGTGCCCCCTGCAGAGGAAGCACCCAGTCTTAACCACTGGACTGCCAGAAAGTCCCTACAAAGAAAACTGTATAAAAAAATAGGACTATAAAGTATGTTCCTTGAAACAAGATGATCTCTAATATAGAAGTGTGGGGCTGGGATGGGTCCAAAGACAAAATTAGGTGGTGTTATAAACACTGTGTCCCACCTGTTCCTGATCCCAAGAAGATCCTTTCCCATTGTGCAAAATGATTTCTCAGACAATTATAGCTGGATGATATTGGCCAATAAGGTCATCCAGCTCTCCCAAAATATTATTTGCATTTTACTTATATTTCAACTGTAACACTTACTCTGGAGAAGCTAAATGAGTTAACAGATATAAACCATCTGTTTATTCTGCCTCTTTATTGCTAGTTCTTTACATATTATATCTTCCACTAGACTGTAAGCACCTTAAAGTATATAATTGATCTGATTTCCTTTTTATTTTCCACAGTGGATATTTAAGTTGATTCTTAAATGTTTGCTGAAAAAAAGGAATGGATGAATGATAGTATCATGTGTCTATTCTCTTACTAGTAAAGACTGAAAAAGTACTTAGAAAGATTGTACTTACCTTATTCTTTTCATTCTGAATAATTTCTAACAGCTGATCTATGTGCCCTTCATCTATACATCTTTGGCCTGCTAACTGAAGCAGGCCAAAATCTTCCTCTTTAAAGTCTTCCTCTTCTAGGATTTGCTGGCAAAAACAAACAAAAAACCAAGTATGTTCAGGCAAATGGAAATTCAATAACTACTTGATTTTTCTCTAAAAAAAGAAATGTTTAAATTCTAAATAAGCTGCACATAAGCATATGTATGAAAATTAGGATTAGGCTAAAAAATACTTTAATAAATCGCCTTGAAATCCACTGTGCCAAAGAAATCTATGATAAGGATCAGTATTAAAAGTGTAAAGATTATTTCCCCAAGTGACATATCCAATCTGTCTTCCTGCCTTCATGCTATTTATTCATAGGTCAAAAAAAGCAAGGATTAAAGAAGATTAACAATTTGAGTGACTGCAGATGTAATTAAAAATAATCTGTGCCCTTCCCATATTCTGAAAGGTTATTAAATGTTATTAAAAACAAAAACAGAAAAAATTACTTACACATCTCTTTATGATAGACTGTAGTTCCTCCACAGCCATTCCTTATTTTTTCCAGTTTTGATGCTGAAATTTATAATATAAATACACTGTTAACTATCAGTAATACTATACTGAATTATAAGTTACTTCATTCTGATGAATTAATAAATACAATAAAGACAATGGAAAGTTTTTAAAGCTAAAACTATTTTTTACTGAAACGTTAGCGTAAGAAATTAAAACAAAAAACAAAAGAACAAAAACCTCTTGTTTCATCCTTCAAGTTTTTTTGGAGCATAATTTTGAAAGATAAACTGAACGGGAAAGAAATTCTTTAGCTCACTCCCAAGAGGTAGCACAAATTTACACTATAAGATCTTTTAAAAGACAGTCTTTCCCCCCGCCACCCCCAAAGGTGGGCCTGAAATCCCGGGAGCCTTTTTCTTTTCTTTTTTTTAAAGTCTTACTTGGCAGAAATCGGAGTGTAACACCTGGAGGGGATGAAAGTTGGGTTGCCTTCCACCCCAAGAGTAACAAGCATTACAGACTCATGCATTCGTCTGTAACAGATGTACCGCGCCCCCTCCCCGCCCCCCATAATCAATCGTGATAGTGAAATCACTGAATCGCGCTAAGTCAGGCAATATGCCCCCGTCAGGGCAACATCGCCCGGTTCCCAGCCCAGTAGCAGAGGCGGGGTTCCGCCGGATCCTCACAGCACCCGGCTGCAGGGCGAAAGAACCCCAGGGCGCGTGCAGGCGGTATCCAAGGGAAGCCATTTCTCTCGGTTCCTGCCTGCGTCGGCCACTGGGCCCCAGACCTCACGGAGGCCTCGGCCCGGACGCCGGGTCCTCCGCGGCTCACCTCCCACCGCGAGCCCCGGCTGCCAGGGACCCCGCGTGTATCCACCTACCACCAGGCCTCTCGCCCCTCTCGCGGCTCTCCTCCGCCGCCGCCGCCGCCGCCGCGCTGCTTTCCGGGTCCCTCCCCTCCCAGCCGGCCCCGCCCCGCGCTGCGCGACGGGAGGCGGAGTCTTGGGGGGAAAGACGCCAGGCTCGGTTCCGACGCTGACGGCGCACCCCATGGCCGACTGGGTCGGATCGTGCTCTGCGGGCCGCAAAGCCCGGCGTCCCCGGGCCCCCCGAGCCGTCGCAGGTAGGAGGAAGGGCCTGTTTCCAAGTTTGGAACTGAGAATTCGGCCCCGCCAGAATTCCAGACGGAGGCCTGCGGGCGCTCCCGAAAGGCTGCCCCAGGGGAGGTGATCCTCGGGGGCGAGAAGGCCGAGAGCTTTCTACCGCCGAACTCTCGCCTTATGGGAGAGACCTTCGTCCGAATCCCCATCTCTGGACGCTAGTCTTCCAAGATTTCCCCCAGAATGGGCTGGCTGTGTTCCAGGTCCTAAGGGAAACGGCAGGAGAGGTCCTGAGAGCCTACAGTCGGGGTCGTCTGAGTGGGCAGGTGACCGGGAGGGCGTTGGAGGGCCGAGTGCAGCTGGCCTTCACCCTAGCACTGGTCCTCCTTGCAGCTGGACTGCCCCTGTGGTGCCCTGGGTCCCCGAGGGGGTCACGCCCCTCTTTACCAGAGAGCGAACGTTGAGGGGACGGAGAGAGGTTGCCCCCTAGATCTCAGGCTTTCAGGAGTGCTTAATTATGCAACTAGGATAACGAGAAAATTGAGTCCTGGAAGAGGTACGTTTTAACCAAGAAAAATAATTAGCTTGCAAAACCAAATTGGATTCCCTTCTCGTTTCATTTGATTTTCACACAGAGTTGGAAGGGAAATGTTAGAGAAGAAAAAAGGATGGTCTACAATTTATTTGGGCAAGAACCTGTCCTGTAACCTGGTGTTTGTGTACACTTGACCTACTGATTTTTGTTTCTTTTAGTTGTAGGTACCAAGCGGACAAGTGCCTTGAACCAAGAAGATGCTTCTCAAAGGTATGAGAATGACATAGACAGCTGCTTTCACTTACCTGTTAATCACATACTAATTGAACTATTTGTAAAAAGTGTAATAGGTGCTACCTCAGAGACAATTACTTAGAGAGAAGGGGAAGATCTGGGAAGTACTGTAAACTCTCACGTAGACTGTTATTTCCCCTACTCTTCCATGCCTTAAGAAAACCAAGTTGACACTCTTAGATTGCTGGTGAATGTATGAATATCTGTAGAAAAATGTCAGTGGTAATAAACATTCCTGAATTAACTAGGTACCTTTTTTTCCATCTCTTCAGATACTTTCCTTTTTGTTTTATATACCAGACTCCAAGAAACTTTTTGTTGTTTTTCTTTGTTTACATCATGTCCATATTTTCAGCAAAAAGTTGTTCTATACTTTTCAATGGGCATCTCCTAAAAACGCAACCTTTATCTCCTGACACAAAAGGTTCTTAGAATAGATGTCATCTTTGAGGATGATGTAACTATATATTATGATTTTATGAAGTGTTGGTTTTAATTTACTCATTCTTTCAAGAATTATTTACTGAATGTAAGATATGCTAGATCTGTGTTAGTCCCTGTGGATAAGATTTTTTTAATTTTTTGAACTCTAGTTGATTTACAATATTATATTAGTTTCAGATGTACAGTATATAGATTAAATATTTTTATAAATTATATTCTAAGTTATTACAAAATAATAACTAAATTTCCCTGTGCTATATAATACTTCCTTGTTGCTTATTTATTGTATACATAGTTTGTATCTCTTAATCCCATACCCCACTCTTGCCCTTCCCCCTACTGTTTCCCTACTGGTAACCACTGATTTGTCCTCTATATAAGTGATCTCAGAATATCTGTCTTTCTCTGGGTTACATCACTAAGCATAATATCCTCTAGGTACATCCACGTTGTCGCAAATTGCAGGATTTCATTCTTTTTTATAGCTGAGTAGTATTCCATGGCATGTGTAAACCGCATCATCTTTATCCATTTGTCTGTTGATGGACACATATTGCTTCTGTATCTTGGCATTATAAATTGTGCTCCTATGAACATTGAGGTGCGTGTGTCTTTTCAAACTAGTGTTGTAATTTTCTTCACATATATACCCAGGAGTGAAGTTGCTGGATCATATGGTAGTTTTTAGTTTTTTAGGGAACCTCTATACTGTTTTCCGTAGTGTCTGCACCAATTTATATTCCCACTAACAGGAGGAGGATTCCCTTTTCTCCACATCCTCCTCAACATTTGTTATTTGTAGACTTTTAAATGATAGGCTTTTTGACAGATGTGAGGTGATATCTCATTTTGTGGTTTTGATTTGCATTTCTCTGATAATTAGCGATGTTGAGCATTTTTTCATGTGCCTGTTGGCCATCTATACATCCTTGGGAAAGTGTCCTGTTTCTTCTGCCCAGTTTTTAATTGGATTGTTTTTTTGATATTGAGTTGTGTGAGCTGTTGATATATTTTGGATATTAAACTCTAACTGGTCATATCATTTGCAAATATTTTCTCCCTGTCAGTAGATTGTCTTTTCATTTTGTTGATGGTTTCCTTTTGTTTGCAAAAGTTTTTAAGTATAATTAGGTCCTTCCTGTTTGTTTATATTTGCTCGTTTCCTTCACCTTGGGAGACAGATTTTTAAAAATTGCTAAGATTTATGTCAAAGGCTGTTCTGCCTGTGTTCTCTTTTGGGAGTTTTTCAGTTTCAGAGGCCCTGAGGATATGATTTTGAACAGTATAGACACAGTTCCTGTCTAGTAGAACAGAGAAATACCAATTAAATTATCACAAATAAATACATAATTGCAAATGAGAAGACTGTTATGGAGGAACTAAAAACAGGAGAGGTTGGCAGGAAGGGTGGTATGTTTTCAGGGAAAAGCTTCTCTGAGAAAGTAATAGTTAAACTGACTGGAAGTCTAGGTAGGCATTTACCAGACAGTATAGTGAGGAGAGACCTCCAGCCAGAAGCACCAATATATGTGACAAGAAGAAAGGAGAGTTGCCCAGGCTCGTGTGAAGCATTCTGAGCAATGGAAGAAAGGAGTGTAGGAATAAGTTAGAGGCAGGGTTGCATTCAAACAGTACCAGTAGACTACGGTGAGAAATTCAGATTTTCTAAGTGCAAACAAAACTTCAAGTAATAAAGTAATAGAATTTAAGTTTCAAAAGTGTTAAGGTGTTAGGGATAATGATCATTTGGGAGTGGAGAAATCAGATGAATTTGAGGTGTATTTTCTTATGGAGCAGAATGACTATGCTTGGCTTTAGAAAATAATACAACAGTAAAGTTTAGTTAATAATAATAATAGTAATTTGCAACTCTCTTCAACATGGATCTGACTGCACGCCCAAGGAGATTATCTTTTATTCTAAGTACTACAATATGAAGAATACAGATAAGCTGAAATGTATTTCAAGCAGATCACCCAGGATGATGAAACAATTAAAAATTCTTGAGGGTAACCGACTAGGTGTTGAGGGAGAAGTGATCCTTCATGAATTTATTCCAACTGAAAAATACTTCTACGTTCAATCCAGCTGAATAGTATTAAGCCAGAAATTAAAGAGCTTTGTGAAAATATAAAACAATTCTGTAATTCACACTGAAGTTTTCGTTTAAAAATATGTTAACGTGTAATGGATATATTACTATTAAATGAGTTCATGAGTGCTTGAAATTTTTCTCGCCTTTAATCCCATTATGGTAATTATCAACAGATACAATCTGCATAAGCAAAAACTAAGATTATAAAAGACCACTGAAGCATTCTCAGTTCAGTCACTTAACCATGTCCGACTCTTTGAGACCCCATGGACTGCAGTGAGCTAGGCATTCCTGTCCATCACCAACTCCCGGAGCTTGCTCAGACTCATGTCCATTGAGTTGGTGATGCCATCCAACCATCTCATCCTCTGACGTCCCCTTCTCCTCCTGCCTTCAATCTTTCCCAGCATCAGGATCTTTTCCAGTGAGTCCATTCTTTGCATCATGTGGCCAAAGTATTGGAGCTTCAGCATCAGTCCTTGCAATGAATGTTCAGGACTGAGTACATTCTAAGTCTAGATATGAGAGCCCTCAAGATCCAGGATGGCAGCAAGGTTGTTCTGGTCGGCGAGTAGAAACTAGTGTAGCAAACAAATCACCAAGATAGTTGGTATCTTTGTTCCCATGGTACTGGTTCTCAACCCTGTTACACACTAGGTTTATCTGGAGCACTTCTAAGAAAACACCATGAATTAGGACCCATCCTCAAAGATTCTTATTGAGTTAGCCTGCAGTGGGACCTGAACATGGTATCTTTTTTAAAAAAGGTCTCATCAGATGATCCTAAACTGCGGCTGGTATTGAGGACCACTGTCCTAGGACCACTTTTTGATCAGATAGCCTCTGCTTTTATATTCATGATGTGTGGGGCCCGCAAAGGCTGACAGATTTTCACTGATGCCTCCTAGATTGTTGTTTTCCTGAACCATAGAGTCATACTGGTATAGTTATTTAATAAGACTTTACAACAAAGGTAAGTAAATACTCCTTTGCGAATATGACTCTGTCCTATTAAACCAGGTTGGCCATTTAGTTAACATTTGAGAATTAGCACAAAGAAATTTGTGTTTAAGAGAACAACCAAAATCATATTTTTTCTCTCCATTCCCTTCTGATTTCTAATGATTTCAAGGGAAAAGCCTCCATTTTTAGGTAAAAGCTCAGAGGAATGATAGAGAATGATAGATTATCGTTTCAATAATGATGGAGTCTTAACTGGCAAAAAGAGATTTCCTCCCATTTTCTTTTCTATAGGATACTCTAAATTCTTCCTTGTTCTCTGAGCCCTGGAAGTCAAATAATCCTGTTATGACAGACGTCAATAACAAGTAGCTTGTTTCCTTTTTGAAAAATACTGGATCAAAAGAAACAGCATTTAAAAATGTACATTTAATCTTAATAGCAAAATAGTATATCATTAGTGTTTAATTTTAAAATGTAGAAAATTGGCTATGCTAAAACTTAAGTAGAATAACTTAAATACCTTTTTTTTTTTAATTTAGGAAAGCAGAACTAGAAGCAGCTGTCAGAAAGAAGATTGAGTTTGAGAGAAAAGCTCTACATATTGTGGAACAACTTTTAGAAGAGAATATTTCTGAAGAATTCCTAAGGGAGTGTGTATGTATTGATAAATTATTACTTCTATAGTATGTTGTTTTCAATGGTTAAGTCATGTTTGGAGTCTTTGCAACCCATGTACTACAGCACTCCAGGCTCCCCTATCCTTCACTATCTCCTGGAGTTTGCTCAAACTCATGTCCATTGAGTCGATGATACTGTCTAACCAACTCATCCTCTGCCCTCCTCTTTTCGTTTTGCCTTCCATCTTTCATAGTGTCAGGGTATCTTATAATGAATCAGCCCTTCACTTTAGGTGGACAAAGTATTAGAGCTTTAGCATCAGTCCTTCCAGTGAATACTCAGGATTGATTTCCTTTAGGATTGACTGGTTTCATCTCCTTGCAGTCCAAGGGACTCTAGGAGTCTTCTCCAGCACCACAATTCGGAAGCATCAATTCTGTGGCTCTCAGCTTTCTTTATGGTCCAACTCTCACATCCATACATGACTACTGGAAAACCATAGCTTTGACTATATATGGACCTTTGTTGGCAATGTGGTGTCCCTGCTTTTTAATGGTGCTGTGTAGGTTTGTCATAGCTTTTCTTCCAAGGAGCAAGCATCTGAATTTCATGGCTGCAGTCACCATCTTCAGTGATTTTAGAACCCAAGAAAATAAAATCTGCCACTGTTGCCATTTTTTTCCCTGTCTGTTTGCCATGAAGTGATGGGACTGGATGCCATTATCTTAGTTTTTTGAATGTTGTGTTTTAAACCAGCTTTTTCACTCTCCTCCCTCACCCTCATCAAGCAGCTCTTTAGTTCCTGTTTTCTTTCTGCCATTAGGGTGGTATTGTCTGTATATCTGAGATTATTGACATTTCTCCCAGCGATCTTGATTCCAACTTGTGATTCATCCAGCCTGGCATTTTGCATGATGTGCTCTGCATATGTTAATTAAACAGAGTGACAATATACAGCCTGAACATACTCCTTTCCCAGTTTTGAACCAGTCCATTGGTTCCTTGTCTGGTTCCAACTATTGCTTCTTGACCTGCATACATGTTTCTCAGGAGGCAGGTAAGGTGGTGGTCTAGTATTCCCATCTCTTGAAGAATTTTCCACAGTTTGTTGTCAAAGGCTTTATTGTAGTCAATGCAGCAGAAATAGATGTTTTTCTGGAATTCTCTCGCCTTTTCTATGATCCAATGAATGTTGGCAATTTGATCTCTGTTCCTCTGCCTTTTCTAAACCCAGCTTTTACATCTGGAAGTTATCAGTTCATGTACTGTTGAAGCCTAGCTTGAAAGATTTTGAGCATTACCTTGCAAGGATATGAAATAAGCACAATTGTATGTTAGTTTGAATATTCTTTGGCATTGCCCTTCTATGGGATTGGAATGAAAACTGAACTTTTCCAGTCCTGTGGCCACTGCTGAATTTTCCAAATTTGCTGACATATTGAGTGCAGCACTTTAACAGCATCATCTTTTAGGATTTGAAATAGCTGGAATTCCATCACCTCCACAAGCATTGTTCGTAGTAATGCTTCCTAAGGCCCACTTGACTTCACACTCCAGGATGTCAGGCTCTAGGTGAGTGACCACACCATCGTGATTATCTGGATCATTAAGACCTTTTTTATATAGTTCTGTATATTTTTGCCATCTCTTTTTAACCTTTTCCATTTCTGTTAGGTCTTTGCTGTGTCTCTCCTTTATTGTGCTCATCTTTGCATGAAATGTTCCCTTGGTATCTCCAGTTTTCCTGAAGAGATCTCTAATCTTTCCCATTCTATTGTTTTCCTCTATTTCTTTGCATTATTCATTTAAGAAGGCTTTCTTATTTGCTATTCTTTGGAACTCTGCATTCAGTTGGGTGTGTCTTTCCCTTTCTCCTTTGCCTTTTGCTTCTCTTCTTTTCTCAGCTGTTTGTAAGGCCTCCTCAGACAACCGCTTTGCCTTCTTGGCATTTCTTTTTCTTTGGGATGGTTTTGATCACTGTCTCCTATACAGTGTTACAAACCTCTGTCCATAGTTCTTCAGACACCCTTATCAGATCTAATCCATTGAATCTATTTGTCACTTCCACTGTATAATCATAAGGGATTTGATTTAGGTCATATCTGAATGGCTGAGTGGTTTTCCCTGTTTTCTTCAGTTTAAGTGTGAATTTTGCAATAAGGAGTTCGTGATCTGAGCCACAGTCAGCTCCCGGTCTTGTTTTTGCTGACTGTGTAGAGGCTGTCCATCTTTGGCTGCAAAGAATATTGTCAGTCTGATTTCAGTATTAACTATGTGGTGATGTCCATGTGTAGAGCCATCTCTTGTGTTTTGGAAGAGGATATTTGCTGTGATCAGTGTGTTCTCTTGGCAGAACTCTTGTGAGCTTTTGCCCTGCTTCATTTTGTACTGCAGGGCCAAACTTGCTAGATATTTCAGGTATCTCTTGACTGCCTGCTTTTGCTTTCCAATCCCCTGTGATGAAAAGGACATAGTTTTTCGGTGTTAGTTTTATAATGTCTTGCAGGTCTTCATAGAACATTCAACTTCAGAGTCAGTGGTTGGGGCATAGACTTGGATTACTGTGTTGTTGAATGATTTGTCTTGGAAACAAATGGAGATCATCCTCTCATTTTTGAGATTGCACCCAAGTACTGCATTTCAGACTCTCTTGTTGACTATGAGGGCTACTTCATTTCTTCTAAGGGATTCTTCTCACCATAGTAGACATAATGGTCATCTGAATTAAATTCACCCATTCCTGTCCATCATCACCTGTCCATGATTCCTAAGATGTCGATGTTCACTCTTGCCATCTCCTGGTTGACCACACCTAATTTGCCTTGGTTCATGGACCTGGCATCCCAGGTTCCTGTGCAGTATTGTTCTGTACAGCCTCAGACTGGACACCACCAGACACAGCCACAACTAGGAGACGTCTCCACCTCGGTCCAGCCTCTTCATTCTTTCTGGAACTGTTTCTCCAGTAACATATTGGGCACCCACTGACTTTGGGGGCTCATCTTTCAGTGTCATACCTTTTTGCCTTTTCATACTGTTCATGGGGTTCTCAAGGCAAAAATGCTGAAGTGGTTTGCCACCAGCTCCCCTGGTAGCTCAGATGGTGAAGAAACCGTCTACTATGCAGGAGACCTCAGTTTGATCTCTGGGTAGGGAAGATCCCCTGAAGAAGGAAATGACTACCCACTCCAGTGTATTTTCCTGGAGAATCCCATGGACAGAAGAGCCTAGTGGGCTACAGTTCATCAGGTTGCAAAGAATCAGACATGACTGACTGACTAACACTTTTATAGTATAAAGTCTTTAAATCTGTGTAACATGAAACTTCCTTGCATTATTGAAATCTTTGAATTTGTTGTCAGTCACACGCTATATAATTTGTGCATTTAAAGATAACCATTACTATTATGCATTCTTTGTTTTATGACTTTAAAATGTACTTGAGAGAGGTAGCATGCATATTTTATCCCTTAATAGTAGTTCTTTTAACCAGTCTGCTAATCTCACTTGATTTTCATTGTGCACTGCTGACCACCATGTCATTTTTCATAGGCTGTATGTTGTCCTGTTTTAGTAATAGAAAATCATCATTTCTGTTAATGTAATTTCATTAATTTTTATATTTTAAAACCATGAGATACAGATCTCCTATGGTTTAATCAACACATAATGAGAATTGTCATTTGCATTAAAAAATTTTTTGTTTTCATTAATGGCTTTATTGCATTAAAAACTTGAAATGTGTGTTATATCCTCATAATCCTTATGAGAAAAAAGAAATGGAAAATTAAAGCTAGAGTTTTTATTGTAGAAATAATTCTTAGTGTAGCTCAGAGATTTTCCTAAACAAGAGGAATATAAATATGATAATATTTAAATTGATATGGGTAACTGCATCAGAATCTCCACACTTGATGACTCTAAAGACAAACCAGAAATGCTAGTTTGTCTCAAGAACTGAGGTTTGTTTGTTTTTTGTTTTTTTTATTGAAGTTCCATTAGTTTACAATGTAATGTTAGTTTCTGGTATACAGCAACGTGTTCAGTTATACTTGTGTGTGTGCGCGCACATGCATGCTAGTCACTCAATCGTGTCCGACTCTGCTATAGTTCCCTGTGCTATACAGTAGGGCCTTGTTGTTTGTATATTTTATAGTATATATATCATTTATATCTGTAATTAGCACCTTTTCTAACCACCCACTGCCACTCTTGCCATCATTACTGCTTTTCCCAAGACCATACTCCGTTCTTCTAAGCTCTTGCCTAATTCATGGAGAACACAGCAGACACCTGGATCTTTTTCTCTGCTGCACTCTCTTGCTCACCCTGTCACTTAGCTTACTTAGCCTCACCTTTACTCCTTCTCATCAGAAGAGGGGACATTCTTTGCCTTGACCCATCTTTCCACCTATTGCCCAACTTCATCATCTTCCTCCTCTTCTGAGACCTTTCTTCATCACTCTCTCTCGTACCTTTAAACATTCCCCTCTAGCCTACTGACATAGCCAACCCATTATTCTGGGTGGTAGATCTGAGATTATTTGAACAAGAAAATGTCAAAAATATTTGGTGTTAGCTTATTAACTGTCACCTCACTGTTCTGTTTTTTTCAGAAGGTGGAAGATTTTGCACAAAAATTTGTTCAGGAGTCACAGTGAAACCTTTAATATACTTTGTTTATAAAACTGTGCTTTCAGAAATAGGTAAAATTGTATATAATTCTATTTTGTTTATTTTTGAGTAACAGTTTTAAAAATAAAAAATATACTATTAATATTTTCCTCTGGTAAAGCAGTCAGAATAGCATCACCTCTTCCTCCTGCATCAGAATTATTTCATGAGTTGTATAATCCACAAAGATGCATAGTTTACTGTGGCAGAAATTTTGGGAGTTTTATGGGTTTGTGTGTTCTTAAATAATAACATATTTTCTAAGTACTTAGAATGTGTGTAGAAGCACTTTTCTAAGTGCTTTTCCTTTATTTTCTCCTCTGATTCTATCAAATCTATGAGATAGGTACTTTTATGATCCCTGTGTTTTCATATGAGATCAATGAGGCCTAAAGAGCTGATAAATAAACTTTTTGAATAATCTGATAGAGTTAAGTGCCCCTCTCATTTCGTTGTAGGGGAAATTCATCACACCTGCTCACTATAATGATGTCGTGGATGAGCGTTCTATTATCAAACTCTGTGGCTATCCTTTATGTCAGAACAAGCTAGGAATTGTAAGTAACTTTTTTTTTTAACCTGTAGACTTTTAGCTTTCGTATTTAGCAAATACCATGTAAGAAGAAAAATAAATAAAACTGAGTTCATGAACTAATGATGTAGGTTAGCCAATGATATAATATATAGATGACTTAATGTTAACCATAAAGCTCATGTTTATTACTTGAATTCTATCATATGCTATACTTTCTTTTCTTTAGGTACCAAAACAGAAATACAAAATTTCTACCAAAGCTAATAAAGTCTATGATATTACTGAAAGAAAGGTAAGTTTAAAGATTATTATCAATGTGGGAGTTAATATTTAATATTATACTAAATGGAATTCTAAAAATAGCTGTTTAAAATCTTGCCTTTTAGAAAATGACTATGTTAAAAGTTTCTCATTTATAGGGAGGTGGGAGGGGGGACCAGGATGGGGAATACATGTAAATCCATGGCTAATTCATTTCAATGTATGACAAAAACCACTGCAATGTTGTAAAGTAATTAGCCTCCAACTAATAAAAATAAATGGAAAAAATAAAATAAAAAATAAATAAATAATAAAAAAGTTTCTCATTTATAAATATGTATAGTGTTAAAATTTTTTTTGCTTACACTTTAGTTAGTATGTGAACATTTAAAAATTGCATATTGGCATGAATTCAGGTGAGTGACTCATAGAACAGAATAGAGAGCCAGAAGCAGACTCATACTACTTGTATGGACACTGAACATAAGACATCAGGAGTATCTTAGATCAGTGGAGAAGGGATGGGTTTTTTAATAAATTATACACACCCAATTATCCATACAGAAAAAATGAAAACAGATAGCTATTAGAGTGTGTATACAAAGATCAATTTTAGGTAGATTAAGAACCTAAATGTAAAGAAATATGTTTTCAGAACTTGGGTTGGAGAGAATTTATTAAATAAGATAGAAAATTATAGACCAGAGAGGAAAAACGGATAAATTTTCTACATTAAAATAGAAAACATTTGCTCATTGAAGTTTCTAAAACAAGAGTGAAAAGCTACAAATCAGGAGTTATATTTCTCACATATAACTAACCACAGATTCATAACCAGAATGCATCATCTATAAGAAAAAGACAAAATTTAAATAAAAAAAATTTTACAGAAGGAACTTGAATGACTAATGAATATGTGAAAAGATGCTCAGCCTTATCAGTAATCAGGAAAATAGCAAATTAGAACACACTGAGTTATTTACATTTTTATAGCTCCCAAATTAATAAAAGTATAAAAATTTGACAACATTAGTGACTCTTTATACTTCTGGTCAAATAAATATTGGTACAACTTTTCTGAGAAACTGTTTGGCAAAATCAAATTTGTTCAAGTCAAATTTACGCATTCTTTGTGACCATTCTATTTTTTGGTATAAACTCATTCTTATTTAACCTGTGTACACAAGTACATATGTGTATGAGCGTTCCTCGTGCTAAGTTGTTCAGACTTGTCCAGCTCTTTTGGAACCCCGCGGACTGTAGCCTGCTGCTCGGTTGCTCAGATGTGTTTGACTCTTTGCGACCCCCATGGACTGTATCTGCCAGGCTCTTCTGTCCATGGGGTTTTCCAGGCAAGAATACTGGGGTGGGTGGCCATTCATCCTCCAGGGCATCCTCCTGACCCAGGGATGGAGCCTGGGTCTCCTTCATTGCAGGCAGATTCTTTACCATCAGAACTACCAGGGAAGCCCATGAATGTTCCTAGTAGGATAAACAAAATACGGTGCATATTCAGTACGTAGAATAGAACATTATTTAGCCTTAAAAAGGAAGGAAATTCTGACACAGCTACAACTGAATGAATTTTGAAGACATTGTTCTAAGTGAGATAAGCCAGTACAAAAGGAAAAATAGTCTATGATTCTACTTATTTAACATAATTGAGAGTAGTCAAATTTATGGAGACAGAAAGTAGAATGGTTTTTGTCACAGGAGATGGAAATGGGGAGTTACAGTTTAATCGGTGTGGAGTCCCAGTTTTGTAAGAGGAAGAGAGTTCTGGAGATGGATGATGGTGATAGTTGCAAAATAGTAAGAAGGTACTTAAAGCCACCGAACTGAACACTTAAAAATGTGTAAGATGATGAATTTTATGTATCATACCACAATTTTTTTAATGTAAAAGTTGTAATTAAAAAAGGTTCATGTAACATGGTAATGCCAACAAAAAATAACAACTCATTGTCCTTAAACAGTAACTGAAAGGTAGTAATACTTAGGCAATGGAATATAATACACAGTGTAAATGCATGTGCTATAGCTACATAAATAACTCTGAAAAACATAATGTGGAACAGAATACAAGGATACATAATAATACTCCACTTAAACAAAGTTTAAAAATAGGCAAAACCAAATGTCAGAAGCAAGACTGAAAGAAAGCAAAGGAATGAGTAACACAGAATTTATGATAGTGGTTATCTCTGGGGAATGTGGAGAGCCATGTGATTGGGGAGGGACACAGAAAAGCCTTCAGAGGTACTAAATCTTATTTCTTGGGTGGTCGATTCTTGATTTTTTTTTTCTGTGAACTACATATTTATGTTTTCTCTTCTGTACATAAATTGTATTTCACAATAAGAACAAAATAAGTTGCTGGTTTTAAAATGTTCTTTTCAGTGTTTTTGCAGCAATTTTTGTTATAAAGCATCTAAATTTTTTGAAGCACAAATTCCTAAAAGTCCAGTGTGGGTTCGCGAGGAAGAAAGGTAATTTAAATCATTATGTATATATTTGTTCTTGTATTTCTTTATAGTTTTTGAGATATGTAAAGGGTAGGTTAGTTTTCTTTGGAATGCATTTATTATACACATTTTCATTGTGGGGAAATGGTTATATTTCAAGCAGAGCTTTTAAGGATTTTACACTTAAAATCAGAAAGTACATACAGATGTTATTTGTTTTCTGTTTTAGCTTTAAGAACAAAATGTACTTTGCTTCCTGCTCTGATGGTTATTTCTATTAATCCTAATAATACAATAATCCTGGGATGAGAATTTTAAATTTTTCCAGAAGGTACAGGATCTTAGATCCAACTGAACTTATACTTTGTTAGGAAGCTGTATGTGCATGCCACGTGCTAAGTCGCTTCAGTTGTGTCAAACTCTTTGTAACCCCATTGACTGTTATCTAACATACTCCTCCATCCATGGGATTTTCCAGGCAAGAATTTTGGAGTGGGTTGCCATGCCCTCCTCCAGGGGATCTCCCCAACCCAGGGATCAAACCCATGTCTCTGTCTCCTGCACTGGTAGAAGGGTTCTTTATCACTCGTGCCTCCTAGGGAACTGTATCTTATTGTTCTGTTACTAAGTCATGTCCGACTCTTTGCAGTGCCATGGACTGCTTCCCTGTCCTTCCCTCTCTTCCGGAGTTTGCTCAATGTCCATTGAGTGGGTGATGCTCTCCAACCATCTCGTCTTCCGCCACTCTCTCCTCCTTTTGTCTTCAGTCTTCCCCAGCATCAGGGTCTTTTACAACGAGTTGGCTCTTCAGATCAGGTGACCAAAGTATTGGAGCTTCAGCATCAGTCTTTCCAATGAATTTTCAGGGTTGACTTCCTTTAGGATTGACCGGTTTAATCTCCTTGCTGTCCGAGGGACTCTCGAGTCTTCTACAGCACCACAGTTCAAAAGTCCAATTCTTTGGCACTCAGCCTTCTTTATGGTTCAGCTCTCACATCTGTATATGACTAAGGGAAAAACCATATCTTTGACTAGACAGACCTTTGTTGGCAAAGTGGTGTCTCTGCTTTTTATTATGCTATCTAGGTTGGTCATAGCTTTTCTTCCAAGGAGCGAGTGTCTTTTAATTTCATGGCTGCAGTCACCATCTGCAGTAATTTTGGAGCTCAAGAAAATAAAATCTGCCAAGTGCTTCCTTCCACTTTTTCCCCATCTATTTGCCTTGAAGTGATGGGACTGGATGCCATGATCTTTGTTTTTTGAACGCTGAGTTTTCAGCCAGCTTTTTCATTCTCCACTTTCATCCCCATCAAGAGGCTTTTTAGTTTCTCTACACTTTTCTACCATTAGAGTGGTGTCATCTCCATATCTGAGGTTGTTGATATTTCTCCTGTCAGTCTTGATTCCAGTTTGTGATTCATCCATCCTGGCATTTTGCATGATGTACTCTGCATATAAATTAAATAAGCAGAGTGACAATATACAGCCTAATCATACCCCTTTCCCAGTTTGGAACTAGTCAGTTATTCCATGTGAGATTCTAACCATTACTTCTTGACCCACATACAGGTTTCTCAAGTAATGTGGTTTAGTATTTCCATCTCTTTAAGAATTTTCCAATTTGTTGTGATCCATACAGTCAAAGGCTTTAGCATAGTCAATGAATCAGAAGTAGATGTTTTTCTGGAATTGCCTTGCTTTGTCTGTCATCCAAAGGATCTTGATAATTTGATCTCTGGTTCCTCTGCCTTTTCTAAACAGCATGTACATCTGAAAGTTCTCAATTCACCACTGCTGAAGCCTAGCTTGAAGGATTTTGAGCATAACCTTGGTAGCATGCAAAATGAGCACAGTTGTACAGTATTTTGAACATTCTTTGGCATTACCCTTCTTTGGGATTGGAGTGAAAACTGACCTTTTCTAGTCGTGTGGCCATTGCTGAGTTTTCCAAATTTGCTGACATACTGAGTGCAGCACTTTAACAGCATCATCTTTTAGTATTTAAAATAGCTCAGCTGGAATTCCATCACCTCCACTAGGCTTGTTTGTAGTAATGCTTTCTAAGACCCACTTGACTTCAGCCTCTAGGTGAGTGACCACTTCATTGAGGTTTTTGGGTCATTAAGGTCTTTTTTGTGTAGGCTTTCTGTACATTCTTGCCACCTCTTCTTAATCTCTTCTGCTTCTGTTAGGTCCTTAACATTTCTGTCCTTTATCATGCCCATCCTTATGTGAAATGCTCCCTTGGTATCTCTAATTTTCTTGAAGAGATCTCTAGTCTTTCCCATTCTATTTTTTTCCTCTGCTTCTTTGCACTGTTCATTTAAGAAGGCTTTCTTATCTCCTTGCTGCTCTCTAGAACTCTGCATTCAGTTGGTTATTTCTTTCCTGTTCTCCTTTGCTTTTTACTTCTCTTTCCTCAGCTATGTGTAATGCCATTCAGACAGCCACTTTGCCTTTCTTGTATTTCTTTTTTTTTTTTTTTTTACTTTTATTTGCATTTATTTTCTGTGGCATTTATTCCCGGGCCATAAGTTTTTGTTCTTCAGTTTCTTCTGGGATATCTTTTTCTTCTGTACAACCTCCTCTTCTGGTTTAGGAAGAATCTGTTCTTTTTCGGTAAGGATCATCTCAGTGTGGCCGGGAGAGCTCATGTAGGGGCTGATCCGACCGTGAGCTCTGTAAGTCCGCGCCGCGTCTTGGGGGCTTTGTTCACTTGGATGTGCTCAGTGACCAGAGAATCTACATCTAAGCCCTTAAGTTCAGCATTACTCTCTGCATTTTTGAGCATGCGTAGTAAAAATTCAGCACTCTTTTTGGGCCACCGACCCTGCGTCCAGCCCCACTGTTTGGCCTGTACACACCTCCCAGCTCCACCATTGTAACGACAGAATGGCACATTTGCTTCTTTAAAGTGACATCCTTCAGATACTTGGTGGTTTTTCGGATATGCATACCCTTTATGGCCTGGGCAGTCTCACGAGTGTTCTTAAAGTGAACACGAAGATTTGAACCTCTTGATTTGCATGATTTTGTGGGGTTTTCTGGGTTGAGTGAATAGCGCACCATTTTTAGGGGTCAGCTCAGGCCGCTTACCAGAAAAGGTGTATTTCTTTTTCTTTGAGATGGTTTTGGTCACTGCCTCCTGTACAGTGTTATGAACCTCTGTACATAGTTCTTAATTAAGTACTAAGGTTAAAAAGTTCTAATTTATTTAATTAGAGCTAATTTATTTAGTTTAATAATGTATTTCTAATTTGTTTTCTAATTTATTTAATTTATTAAATAATTTATTATTTGTTTAATTTATTTAATCTTTATTAAAAGTCAGTATAACATTTTGTAAATTTTAAAAAGCCAATTTAAAGAGTCATTTTTAGCAAAAAAAGTTTATAGACATTCATGGGTTGTTGCCTTTTGAGAAATGTTTGAACATTTATAACATTTTAGTAGTTGCTGAATTTGAAAGAGAATTCATCAGTGAGGGGAAGTTGGCATAATAATGTTAAAGAGGAAACAAAAATTATTGTTATGTATCTATACAAAGGCTTAAATTAATGAGATAATGTCTCAAGTAATTCATGTTTGATAGAGAATATTATAACACAAGGCAGTGTTATTTGAGGTAAAATAAGATATATGCTAAATAATCTTACTGGATACTCAAGTAACATCACTACTCTATGTTCAATTAGCATCAGCTGTGCTGGTGACAGTAGCTTTGTTTGCAGACACCTTTGTTTGCTGATCCAATTCTACGTGGTTTAGAATATGCTGAATATACTACACTGTGGCCTTTGTTGGTTGAATTAAACATTATAGAGACTAAATTGCTCATCATTTCTCTGCCAGCCTGACTTTCTTATTTGGAGATAAAAGATTGTAGCATTGTCCAAACTTTCTGGAAACTTATGAGCACCTTTTTAACTATCATTTTTTCTCTTAATATTTCTTTCTAAATTTCTTTCACCAGAGCTGCCATTGCCTCCTCAGTTCTAATGAGAGCAACAATATTACATTTCCCAGTGTTCAAACTGATGTTTGCTTGAGTTCTTAGTTTTGCTTCCAGAGATTTTTTTTCTACTTCTTCAAGTTAGTGCGCTCATTTAGTCCATCCGCATATCTGCTTCAAAACCATTTATTAAAGCACCTTTCCTGTCATCTCTGTTTTCTTCAGATATAGTTATTGGTACTTCCTTTAACTAATTTTAAAAAGTTCCTTCCTCTAACTTTTTCCCAAAATCTTACCATCCTATCTTCAGAATGCCTACTTTTTTCCCAAAATAGGAAGCTCTGTCATTTTATGTTTATGGTTCTTAAAATTCTACCTTATATACCCTTCCCCACCTCACTAAAATGAAAGATGAAAATGCCCTTGGTTTTTTTTTTTTTTTTTTTTTGAAACTTACCAACTTAATTTACATTTAAAGTGTGTAGGAACTTTCCTGGTGGTCCAGCCCTCTGCGCTTCGATTGCAGGGGGGTGCAGGTTCCATCCCTGCTCTGGGAACTAAGAACCTGCATGCTGCACAGTGCAGCCAAAAAATAAAAATAGGAGGGTAGTAGGTGCAGTAGTGTACTCTTACTACCCAGCAGGATGCAGATGTGTCTGCTTGTGCACACACATGTGTGAAAGCCAGCCTCTGTGGTTAAGTTTAAATCTCACTGGGATGGCAAAACAAATACACCTGAGTGAAACAAATTTGACTCATTCTAATGGGCACCTGTAATGTAAGTTAGTGAGGTTAAAACACCACATAATGAAAAACTTTAAGCAGAGGTGAGAAAATAAACTCACAGGAGTAGGTTGGGTATCGAAAATAGTGAGAACATTAACTCATTTGAAATAAGGGATGTATTGGGGAAAAAAATAGAAGATGATGGATATCAAGGGGCCAAGCTAAGTTTGGTATGTACTCAAGAGCTGGGGAGCCACTGAACATTTTTTAGTAGAATTTATGTGGCATTGGTATACAAGATGAATCAAAGGATCACAATGAGAGAACTGAAAGGGTCCTTAGAGAT